GACGCTAGTTTTGAATGCCCCATGGTCTCGAAAGTGAGGACCTGGACGGGGCCAGTTCTGTTTCCGAGGAGGGCCCGCGGGCCCGCGAGTCTGCGTTTAAACCGAATGTGCACATAGATGTAGGTAAGGGCCCACCCGCAAAGTCTGGCGATTCCCGATGCAGTGTCGACCCTGAAGCTTTGGGCGCGGCCCCCCCTGGGACGCAGATTAGGCGGCCTTTGCAATATACATGCCAAGTGATTATGCCCCGAGCCCCCCCCCCCCCCCAGCATCTAAGCGCGGCAGTGTTTCATGCCCCGACGACGTTTCACCCCCCCCCCCCGCCCTCCCCCCCGCCCCCCCCCCCCCCCCCCCCCCCCCCCCCCCCCCCCCTCAGTCTGGGGCTGATGTGGGCTTCTATATCCCTGAGGCTACGTGGCTGGAGAGTAAAAAGGCACATTGGTTTCGCACCAGCTGGCGATATCCCTCCATCCCTCCCCCTTTCTTCCGCTCCATAGCTTCTTGGCTCAACTCGCCTGCCGCCATCGCAATGTGCAGGGCTCTCCTGGCACCGCGAGGCGCGACGGTCCCAGGTTTCGCACCGATGTTGCTCATCAGCAGGAGCGGCGCAGGCAGACCCCTGAGAGCGATGTCCTGTCGGGATGGTGGACGCGTGTTCGCGCTCTGCTTGCTGGCCTGTGACGACGCTATCAACGTGGCAACGGGCATCGCCAACGTCGTCGTTTGCTGGAATCCCTCGGCAAGCGCGTCGACGATCGCCCAGAGAAAGCACGCGCGCACTATTGCGGAGCAAAGAGCCCTCTTGGAGGAGGTGGCAACAAGTTTGCGGCTCATCCTGGGCGAGACGGAGATCGATCAGCAGCAGCTTCAATTGTATGCGGACTCGTCTTGTAAGATCTAGGCCAGAGTTCAACGGCGTGCCATCGCAGTGGCTATGGCAGATTTCAGTTCTCGGGTTGAAAAGGACGCGGCCTCGGGCCAGCTTCGCAGCCATATTCGCCAAGAACCTCCAGTTCGTCAAGTGCTGGAAGTGCGCGGGCGAAAACTCTACCAGCCTCTGGACATCGTTGACCGCAAGGCTGAGCGGTGGAGGGAGCTGACAATGGGGCCCTCCGGGAGGCATTTCGTCAGGCTCGCGAGCGTGCCGAGTTGGAGCCTTTCCCTGACATTTCAGGAGAGGACATTCGGCGCGCGGCACGGTCCATTGCAGCCGGCGCTGGTCAAGGCGTTGGCCGCATGTCACCTGTGGACTCTAAACGCCTGCCTCTCGCAGCGCTGGATGATCTTGCCCTGCTGTGCATGGCCACCGAATCGGAGATAGCATGGCCGCATCAGATCATGATGACCTTGGGGGGGCTCCTCCCCAAGAAGACGGAAGGCGCTTTTATAATTGGTCTACTTTCTATGTTCAGCAGAATATGGAGCCTTGTGAGGGAGCCCGAGGTGAAGCGCTGGTCCGAGGCATCAGCGCCTCACTGGGGCGCAGCAGTGCGAGGCAATGCAGCTTTGCGCGAAGCCTTCATCAGCGCGCTTGAGCAGGATGAGGTTGGGCACCAGCTCGGCGTTCCCTCATGCGTAGGACTGATTGACATCGACGGCTTCTACGACAATGTACTGTGGGAGTACCAGGTGCCGAAGGGACTGGCGCTCGGCTTTCCTGCTGCTATTCCGTGCCTGGTGGTGCTCCAGCGCGCGGCGCCGAGGAGCCTTGGCCAGAGCAGCTCGTGGGCTTTACCGATTGAGCCCACTCAGTCGGCGGTCCAAGGGCCGCGCAGTGGCACGAGGTTCGGGTGCATCATGGTGTACTACGTTCCCGACAAAGTGTGTTCAGCTCACCATCGGATGGGCCGCTGGATATGGGTGGGAAATCTGGCCCAGCATGCAATTGGGTCTCGAGGCCAGGTCCGCCAGCAGCTCATATCGAGTTCCAAGGGGGCCCGTCGAGGTTTGGCGTCGATGAAGCTACGAGTGGCGAACAAAAGCATCGTAATGTGCCCCCGCCACCCCGGCGCGATCAAGGTCGCTTGAGCCTTGCGTTTGTCAGGGTTCCATGTCCGAGCTGAACGGTCTGCTGGAAATTTAGGCTCGGACCTGGGGTGCGGAGGTCGTCACTTTTGAGCTTCTCGTCGAAAGCGGGGGGCCACGTGTAAGACGACGCGCTCCAATGTGCGGCGCTTTGCCCGCGCAGGGCGGAAGTTTGCGGTCTCCTCCAAGCTAGAGCGCTTGGGGGCTCAGGCGGCGGGGCCGCGCGGCTTCCAGATCCACGTGGCCTTCGGCGTTCGCATGCAGCAGTGCAGGCAGCGCCTGGGGGCGGCCATTGCCACGCTTTCCCGCGGGCGATGCCTCGCGACGCTGCTGGCCATCAAGTCGCCTGCCGACCCCGCTCTGAGGTTGCCAGAGGAGTGCCTTTGCACTTGGTTCAGGGTTTGGCTGAGCGAACCCTCCATTCGCCCAGGGGCATGTCGCGTCTGGCCTTCGCTCGTGGAGAGGATTCGAAGGGCGCAGCCTGGGCAGCGATCCCGCCATATACGAGGCCCAGTCTTTGCTATCATCAACCTTTTACTCAGTCACGGGTGGGATCCAGTTTCCACTGCAGATTGGACTAGGCCAGCTGCGACCGCTGAGGGAGAGACAGTTGATTGGCATTTTCCCGACAGTGTGTGGGAAAACTGGCCAGATGTGGACGATCCTGGAAATCTAGTTCGTGATGCTCAGTTTCCGGCTTCGCAGAAGTTATGGCGAGATGCCGCTCAGCATTTCTGTGGCGGAGGTATGGGGGAGGGCGTCGATTGCGTTTCCCCCCGTCGTCTCCACGCGCAGTTGTTGGGTTTAGCCCGCGGCAGCAGATTCTCATATCTTCTTGTCGCAGTTGCTGCACAGGCCTCGCGGCCTCGTGCACGTTGGGCAGAACCAGCAGGTGTTAAGGGAGTTGGATTGGATCATATGTGCCCGCGATGCGAAGAGAAGAAGGAATGTCAGTTTCATCGCGCACGGGGTTGCTCGCGCAACACGGGAGCCCCAGCATACGAGAGTTTCGATTTCTTGGTGCAGGAAGCATGCGCCAATTGGGAATCAGCTGAATGCGTCTGGCTCCGAGGTTTGTTTCCGTCGAGCTGGGTCAGCATCCCTCCGCCACCCGAGGAGGAAAGCTGGTTCTCGTCAGGCTGCACCACCAACGATGGGAATGCAGTTTGGCTCGGCACAGGAATCC